AAAATTAATATCACAGATGAAAGACTCAGTGTAGGTTCCAACTCAAAGACAACCAAAGTCCTCAAACAGAGAAAAGGATGACGTTGTCAATGATTTTGTCTTGCTTGGACCTCTCAATAATGCTGATGGGACAAGCAGTCAAGAAGTCAAATGAAGCATTGCTTCTAGTGTTGAAAATCAGGGAAATTACTCTGGGGCCCTGCCCCAAGTCATGGTATGTACACTTGCCTCATATGCAGGCAATGAATAAAGAAGACTGCGGAAGGCGTGATGCGTTTCAATCATGGTGCTGGCGAGGAAAGTGCCCTGGACTGCTGAAAGGACACGCAAATTTGGCTTGAAAGAAGGACAGTCCGAGTGCTTCTTAGAGGCAAAGATGGAGACACTTTGTCTCATGTGCTTTAGACACGTTGTCAAGAAAGCGTAGACCCTGGAGAAGGGCGTACGCTTGGTAGAGGGGCAAGCAAGAAGGAAGGCTCTCAACGAAATGCTTATAAAGTGTCGGCAAGAAGGGGCACAAGCGTAAGAACAACCACGAAGATGGCACCAGACGGGGCAGTGTCTCATTCCTTTGTACGTGAGTCAGAACCCACTCGACAGCACCAAGACCAACAGCAGTAACCCAACCAAGGGACCAGTTTTAGGCACTGGAAGTTTAAGACGATCTTTGCTTTGAGAGCAATGTGCACCATGAGGAAAGGCGAAGACAGAGAACCCAAGGTAGTAGAGGCAGGTGAGCAAAGCTCGGAGTCTGAGCTTTTCTCAGTAATTTGAGAGTATGAGGCAACTGTAGAGGATCATATGTCATAACTTGATTTCTCTTGAATGAAATTAACATGTATATTTATGCAAGATATCAATACAGATGGAAACTTCTGCTTGATTACCTACTCAAACAGCACAGCATGTACTTTATGCAGGTTTTGCTAAATTCTCGGGTCACAAATACAAAAGGTACCCCTCTTACTACCTATTCTAACTATCCTGTATGATGCAGGTCTGGAATGAGAAAGAAGAACCCAAAAGTCAGACAATAAGGTAAGAAGCCCAAGGTCATGAAGAAGAAGTACCGTCAGTAAGCAAATAGCTTTCAGAATCATGTAGATCCAAGACAGTGCTACATTCCAAATAAAGAAGCACATTTTTACATAAAGGGTAGGGCTATATTTTATGGGGTTCAGCCATAGGATGATGAAGGAGGGTAACTTTAACATTGCATCTGAAAACAAGGCAAAGGGGGAAATAGTTTGACCACTAGTATATCTCCTAGGGAAAAAGCAAGAACTGCGAGGGAACAAATGCTGATCTGCCAGTGGGTGGAAGGCCAGGACAAAACAAAAAGAAAACTGCCTGGCACCCAAAAGATCCAGGCAGGAAGTAACCAAGGTTGTATACCACCAAAAGTACTTACCTCTTTCCTCAGGAGGCAAATCCTCCAAGAAGTCATCGGCAGCTTGCAGAATCTGCTTCAGCACAGAGGATCAGAGGATCCTTCACACGGTCCAGCTCCCACTCTGAATTATAATTACTGACCACAAAGATGTCAGGAAGAGGAATTCCAAATTTTCGATGGACTGCCTCTCGCAGCAATACAGAGATTGAAGTCCAGGAACCATTCAGCCATGAACAATAATGTCCTGTGCAAATATAGATTATGAAAGCACAGACATACAGCAAACTGGTGGAAGCATAAAACATGCCAGAGTGGTAGAAGCAGCGTCGTGCCCAGAGAGAGCGCAGGGGGAAAGGCCGCGTTCCAGAGTTCTTTCTGGAACACCGTCCTAGCCCAGCTCTCACAGCGCTGCTAATTGTTTGGGAATATGTATAGTAGATTCAACATGAGTTAGAAATAAAAAGTAAGAAATAGTTCTGTTAAAAACTACTATGAGCTAGAAACATTTTTAATACATTTGTACCAGCGTTCACATTTTTCATCAATTTTCTTTCACAAGTTATTGTCAGTTCATTGTATTAGACTAAGGTTTAAAAGAAAAAACCAAAGCAGTTGTAGCCACTGTTAAAGTTATAGATTACGTCAATGAGACTCTCCTGAGTCAGGGTGGGGGTGCAACCCATCTGAGATAGTTTATTGTGCCAGCCTGGCTGATAAACACAAGTGGGATTAACTGAAGGGCAGAGAGATAAATGGCTTGGTGAGCCTTGCCTTTCTTGTCTCTCGCTCTGTGATCATCAGACCAGTGTGTGGCTGCCTTGCTTGTTCTGTGCCTCAATTTAAAGGCTACACTACCTGTGGGACGCCTAGCCTGTGGACTGTGTCGCTGTAAGTTGAGGTCCCTTTAAGACTTCTCTGGAGCTGGGGACTGGTGGTTGGTGACCTGCCTTGCGATTGGCTGCTGTGCTGACATAGCCTAGCTCTCTCTACAAATAGAGGAAGATCTGGCAGCACACTAGACTTGAAGGACTGCTAGTCTCTCACAACTCTCTCTCACGGACTTGAGTTGCACTGAGCCATTTGTAGTGCTTTCTAATTTAACTGTTTATTTCTTGTATTATATATTTATCTGTATATGATTTAACAGTTCATTTCTTGTTATATATCTAATTATCTCTATAAATAAATCTATTAAATTGTCAGCAATTTGGTTTTATCTCTCTAGAGAACCCTGTCTAAAACACCATCCTATCAATCAGGTCCCTGTCTGATGAAACTCTTGGGGGGCGGGCAGCTTTTGTATGTGATAGTACAAGCCCTTCCTCTTCTAAGAAAACTGAATCTTGCATCTGGTTCCTCAGTCTCCTGATGGATCGCCTGCCGATCCCATCCCAAGAGCCCTCAGCCAAAGGCGGAATCCTTGGCACCCTTCAGATTCCTTGACCTCTCTGCATTGGCCTGCCTGTGCCCCTGGCATCCTGTACTCGGCATGCTGCTCCTCTGTTCCCAAGAGAAAAGCCTGCCTTGGATCATCACGTCCCTTCTCTTTCCCCTATGCACTCTCAAGAAAACCGCTGATTCACACATATAGTGTACTAAGTACAGTCTCCCCATGCAAACATTCCTTTCTCACTTTGTCTTGTCCTAAAAAGACAAAGCCCTTCATTAAATTGAATGGTTCTCTGACTCTCAAACATCTCTTTTTCTCTGTTGATGTATTCAACATGTGTATGCTATTGCCATAGTCTTTTTCTCCTTCTATTTCTCTTAACTTCCTGAAACTACACCTTAAAAGGCATGTCCTAGTGCCACTCCAATAATGAAATCTTCTCTTATCCCCTTTAACACATCTTTTCCTCCTCTGAATGTTCAAAACACTTCGTTTGGGGCCATTTCATTTTGTCACACTAAATCATATATTCATATGTCAATTTTTTCTTATCTTACTTCTCCTCAGCCTCCCCTCACCTACAAAATTGAAAGCTTTATAATGAACGAAAATTGTTTCAATGATGTATATATATGACTAGAGATATTGGTTCCAAGGGAAGGCAATAAATGTGTATTAATTGAATCAATTGAATTCAATCTTAAGGAATTATCGTGTGAGTCTAAGATAAATATATATACTCATTTTTAGAATTTGAGGCCAAGCTTGGGTTACACAGGTAATTCAATTAATTATCCTTAAAATCTTTAAGTGTGTATTTTAATAATAATACACATAAACACAATATAACTATGCTTATGAAACTCAGAAAGGATTTTTATCTTACCTTGAGCTTCACGGGCATACAGCTGTATGGGTCTATAAGGTCGTTTCCTAATCAGATCCATATCCTGCCCCACTCAAGTAAGCAAAGCCACGTGTGGCACACCCACACCAAACAGATATGTATATGATGTTCAGCATTACAGATACCATCAGTTTTCTTCCATTAATTAACAAATCTATAACTGGACAGGAGCAAGTCATATTTTGTTTTGTTATATAGGTGGCCATGAGTCGTAGCTAAATCAATGGCACTAACAACAAAACAATAGGTTGTCTGTAGGGTAATGTCAAATACTTAGGAAGACCTCTTTTCCTCAAACAAATGAGAACTCTCCAATTAGTGGTTGAAATTCCTCTGATATGGGAAGTCCCTTCGTTGCCTTCCATCTGAGAAATAAAACTTCAAATGAAAGTATATCTTTAAAAAGGTAACGAACATGTACTACACTATTTATTGATTCACATCATCTCCAAACCATTAGGTTTTGATAGAGGTTGGAGAAAATAATACAAGTAATTAACTAAAAGATGAAAAGAAAGAAATATCAAGAAAGACAGATTATGCCAAAGCATCATAATTAACCTGCCCCAATCAACAATGGAAACTAGATTTTAAATTTCAGTGAGTAGGTAAGTTAAAATGACTCTTTGTATCTTACTCTAATCAAAATCATGATAAATTTGATTGTGATAAGAGCTGTATGAGCCCCCAATAAAATGATCTGTTAATTAAAAAAAAAAACTGGTTCCCAAACAAGTTGGATATGACCAAGACAAGCTAGGGAGAAATGTTCTTGACCCTCCTTACCATCTCTAAATCTTCGTACTATCTCTCCCCATCAAATACCACAGCTTCCTTCATTCTTTTCCTTGCTGTTGCTGTGAGGGGCCATCAAATTCTGACTCACAGCGGCCCCGAGCACAACAGCGTAAAGCACTGCCCAGTCCTGCACCGTCCTTGCAATTCGTCGTATGTTTGAGCCCACTGGTGCAGGCACTGTGTCAATCCACTCCCTTGAGGATCGTCCTCGTTTTCACGGACCCTCTACTTTACTAAGCATAATGTCCTTTTTCAAGGACTGATAGCTTCCGATAACATGCCCAAACTTGAGAGGAACTCTGGCCATCTTCGCTTCTGAGGGACATTCTGGCTGTACTTCTTCCAAGACAGATTTGGTTTTTGTTTTCTGGTAGTCCATGGTACTTTCAGTATTCTTTGTCAGCATCATAATCAAATGCATCAGTTCTTCTCCCATCTTTTTTATTTAATATTCCTTTTCCTTAGTGAAAGTGTTTGTTTTTTCCTAATTTCAAATTTTTGAAGTTCCAAGAGTAATCTGGGATCAACGATTAGTAAATCAATGATATGACAGATGGGGTAGCAGGTGGTTAGAGCCGACTGGATTGCACCAAATTTTTCACGTATTGTCTAATCCATACAATAAATTTCTAGGGTGGCGACTAAAATTATACTAATTATGCAGATTAAGAATTAAGGCACAGAGAGTTTGTTGTTTGTGCAAGTCATACAGCTAATGAATGCTTAAATTGATGGAATGCTGATGGGTTAGGAAATATGCAGAATGGCAACTCTGGGAATTGTTTGTCCCATTCAAGAACAATCTACATCATAGATTGATCAGACTTCAGTAGCAACATGGAGTGAGACTCACCACACTTTATCATTATCCTTTTAATTCTTTTGATTTTTGCCACTACTTCAGGAGAGAGCTTTTCAACAGAGTTGGCATCCAGCACAAGGGCCACACAATGCATTCTGTCCTTCAACGAGGGGGACTTAATGTAATTAGAACGGCGTTCTGTAATTGGCACTGCACACTTAAGCTGTAAGGTATACATAAAGGAATACATTAACAAATATTTATGAGCACATACTATTTACCAAGCATTCTGTAAGTGAACAAAATAGTAAAAACACATAGATCTGATTTTATGAGATTTGCACTCTGGTAGAAAGTACTATACTGCCATTGAGTTAGTATTAACTTAAAATTGCTTCCTGATCTGTTATGTCCACTGATGAAACATACAATATTCCTCTAGCTCCTTGAGGCTTCCTTACCCCCCACTATCATGACCCCAGTCCTGCCTTTCACTGCAGGCTAGACCAGAGCATGTGCACAGGTAGAGATAAGAGACAAGAGCTCACAACACGCAGAATCCAGGAACAGGACTGGGAGTAGGGATACCAGGAGGATAGGCAGGGAGAGGGGGGGAGGAAGAGGTAACCGACTGCAATGATCGACACATAAAACCACCACCATCCCCAGAGAAACCATAGGGGAAGGGAGACAGTGGTTGGTGTAAGATATGAAAATAATAATAATTTATAATTGACCAAGAGGTCACAAGAGGGTGGGGGAAGGAAGGGGGGAAAAAAGAGGAGCTGATACTAAGGGCTCAATAGAAAGTAAATGTTTAGAAAATAATGATGGCAACATATGTAGAAATATGCTCGATTCAATTGATGTATGGATTGTTGTAAGAACTGTAAGTTCCCCCAATAAAGTGATTTTTTTTTTAATTAAAAAAAATTTTGTCTTCCTAATAAGCTTCTCATGATTACACTGTGTCTTTTGAGGAAAGAGACCCAGGTCACCCCTTGGGGAGACCGAAACATAACCTTTTGAGCGGATCTCTCAGTCTTGAATTGGACTGGCCCAGCATATCCATTCAGAAGTCACTGTTCTGATTAAACTTTTTTGAAGGCATCCTAGCAGACAGGAGACAAGTATATTCCTTAAAGAAATTCCTTGCAGCAACCCACAGATTGCAGAAACATGTTTAAACATGCTCAGCTTGGGACAAACCCCACTAATAGTACTTTTACTGACTCTAGTACATAGAATACTTTTTAAAGCAACCATGCAGAAGTAAAGGAAAAGAAGTTCAGGGAGAGTGGATGCAGGAAGGCCAGTTAGAAGGTCAACACTAAGAAAGATTCTGAATTGCGACACCTTCATCTGCAGTGTCAGATATTACTTTTCCCAAAGATGTCCCTCATCAGAGTTCTGCTCTTCCATACTCTCTAGGGAGCCCTTCTTCTCATAGGATCCAGAACATGTCATTATACTTAGCTCAGTAAATTTCAATTGCATATTCAAATGACACATTCAAACCTTCCCTGCCCACCCCCACACTCTGCCGTTCCCGTATGTTGTGAACTCCACAAAACCTACTAATAACCATTGAGTCAATTCCTAATCACAGCCGTCACACATGTGCCACTGTAAAACTGCTCTCCATAGGCCCTATGGCATAGGGCTCCCAAGGGATGATTTCTCAGAGTGTATAAGGTCTTTCTTTTGGAATTGAAGCATCTATGAAATGATTTGCTTTCAGGTGACCTTAGGTCCCATTCTTTAAAAGCCTATTTGAGGAAAGAAGAGGCTGAGAAGGGGCCCTAATGACTTTGCCATCTGCACACTACGGCGTGCCATTTATAAAGACTTGTGGAACTGAGAGAAGCTGTCATGTGTTAGATTGCTAGTCACTCAAATACATAGCAAAATGTAATTAATTTTTTTCTTTTACAAGCTCCTCCCTGGGGGACAGACAACAGAAAAGTGGGTGAAGGGAGATGTTGGACAGGGCAAGATATGACAAAATAATTATTTATAAATTATCAAGGGTTCATGAGG